GTTAAACCTCAGGAGCAAAGGTTCTGTGAGCATTGAGAGGCAGGGCATAAAGCAAAGCCAGTTATTCTAGATTTTCCAGTTCCTGAAGCTTCCCTCTGTCTCTCTCTCCTCTCCTCTCTCCCTCCCTCCTTCCTTCCCACCTCCCTCTCACATAATGATTTTGATTCCTCTTAAAATAACTAAAAGTCAAAGTTTATTACAGAAAATTTAGACAGAATGAACTCAGAAGGAAGAGAGTAAAATTCAGCCATCTTCCAACTGCCCAGAGAGAGCCACTGTTACTACCACGTGTTAATTCCATCCTGTGACCTGCAGCCTTCATCCTGGTTTCTCCCCAGCCCCAGCAAGCAGATCCTGGTTGGTCCAAGCCTCCCCCATTCTTCTGGCCAGGGATTGGTTGAGCCGTGGGTAGTGCTGGCCAATCAGAGCTGAGGGGAGGGTCCTGGGGAAGCTCCCCCAGAATGGGGTGGGCTTCTTCTCCAGCTAGGTGTTTGGCTGCGATGCCCGGAATGCAGCAGCCATCTTGGCACCAGCTTGAGCATGACAGCCAATTTGTGGAGGAAAACAGAGTAAACAGCAGAGAAGCAGAGCTGATCCCTACATGTAGTACCTGGAGTCCAACTAGGCAATCCAGTTGTTTGCTTTTAATCCCAGCCTGGGGAGTCCGGGGCGGGGGGAGGAAGGGGGCTCTCTGCTATTGGCACCTGAAGCATCCACACTGTTGCATTTTCAAATACTGACAAAGATTCTCTCATTGACTGAACTCTGCTCAGGCTCTCCTGAACTTTTTTCCAACTAGGGTTGACTTTTGACTTCTATGTTCATCTCTGCCTTGTCCAGTTTTAGCAAGAATCCTAAGTCAGTTTAATTGGAACTGCCCACCATTGATATCTGATCACCTTTGATATCTGTTTGGGTCCCCTCCCCCGCCCCCCCCCCCCCCCCGCAAGAATCCCGTTAGGTCAGTGTAGCCAGAATCCTTCTTACCCTTAAGGCTACTGAAGCTGAATCCAGCCTCTGTACCCTGACACCGAATTAAATCTTGGAGACAGAGTTTTGGGTGAAGTAGAAAAGAATAGCTTTATTGCTTTGCCAGGCAAAGGGGGCCATGGTGGGCTAATGCCCTCAAAACTGTGTGTCCCAACCTGGAGGGGGCTGTGAGGAGTTTTATAGTAGTGGTTCAAAGAGGGCGTGGTCAGCTCACGGCCATTCTTCTGATTGTTTGGTGGTGAGGTAATTGGGAGTCGGCATCATCAACCTTCTGGTTCCAGCCAGTCTGGAGTCTCCGTGCTTGTGGGCAGCATACCGTTAACTTTTCCCACCTGGTGGGGGCTTCAGCAAAACAGCTCAAAGATCTTGTTATGTGTATCCGTTGAGGGGGAACCAGGACGTTGCCCCAAGGCTGCACTATTGTTTCTTTTGACTGTTCCTCCCTCGTCTCTGCATCCCCTCCCTTCCCTTATCAGCAACTGTTTGAACCTGCTGTTGGAACTCAGGGAAGGTCACGGAGGCTGAATGAAGCGGATTTCCTGCAATCAAGAAACAGGGGGGCGCAGAAAGGCTCCTGTGTCTAGGAGCCGCGCAGGGTCCTGCTCTGTATCACTACCTCTTAGTTGTTTTTCATGCACTGACTCCCAGCCTGCTCCTTGGCTATAAGTTCCCACGTGCACATGCTGTATTTGGAGTTGGGTCCAATCTCTTTTCCCTATGGCAGATGCTCCCTACACCTATGGCGATGACCCCTTCCCCTTGAATAAAGTCTGCCTTTTGCTTTAACTGGTGTCATTAAGTAGTTTTTTCCTTTAACAGTTAGAATATTATTTTTTTCTTTCACGATTCACCTATCCTTCGTGAATTTAATTGGTTCCTAAAAATTCTGCCAGCAAGCGCTGGGAAATGAAAAAAATGTTTCTATCGAAATTAATTTTTTTTATTGTGATAAAACCCACATACAATTCACCGTTTTAAAGTGTACAATTCAGCGACGTTTAGTACGTTCACGATGTTGCGCAATCATCGCCGCTGTTTCCAGAACATCTTTATCGTGCTAAAGGAAACTTTGAACCCATTAAGCAGTCACTCCCCATTGTCCGAGGTCCTGGCAAACACTAATGTCTTTTCTGTCTCTATGGATTTTTTGTTTGTTTGTTTTATTGAAATATAGTTGATTTACAATGTTGTGTCAGTTTCTGTTGTACAGTAGGGTGATTATATATATGTATATACATATATATATGTATATATGCATATATATACATTCATTTTTTTTAACATCTTTGTTGGGGTATAATTGCTTTACAGTGGTGTGTTAGTTTCTGCTTTATAACAAAGGGAATCAGTTATACATATACATATGTTCCCATATCTCTTTGTCTCTATGGATTTGCCTATATTGGCTATTTCATAGAAACTGAATCATGCACGATGTAACCATTTGTGCCTGGCTTCTTTCATTTAGCATCATGTTTCCAAGTTTGTAGTGTGGATCAGTCCTCCATCCCTTTTCATGGCTGGATAATATTCTCTTGCATGGATAGACCAGATTTTGTTGATCCATTCATCTGTTGATGGCCATTTTCGTTGTCTCCACGATGAGCTGTTGTGAACATCGCTGCCATGAGCATTCGTGTACACATACGTATTTAAGTACCTGTTTTCAGTTCTTTTGGGTATCTGCCTAGGAGTGGAATTCCTGGGTCATTTCATCATTTTTTTTAAATGAATTTTTATTTTATTTTTGGCTGCATTGGCTCTTTGTTGCTATGCGTGGGCTTTTCTCTAATTGCGGTGAGCCGGGGCTACTCTTCGTTGCGGTGCGCGGGCTTCTCGTTGCGGTGGCTTCTCTTGTTGTGGAGCACGGGCTCTAGGCGTGCAGGCTCAGTCGTTGTGTCTCGCGGGCTCTAGAGCGCAGGCTCAGTAGTTGTGGCGCATGGGCTTAGGTGCTCCGCGGCATGTGGGATCTTCCCGGACCCGGGCTCGAACCCGTGTCTCCTGCACTGGCAGGTGGATTCTTAACCACTGCGCCACCAGGGAAGTCCTCATCATTTTTTAATAAGTTAGATGTCAGTAGCGTAGGCATTCTCACCCTGAGAAATCTGCAGTCCAGAGGTTTCTGGGGATCTTGCAGTAACTCAAAGCAGGATGGTATTGGTTTGGTTTGAGCCCCCGCTCCACTTACTCTGTGCAGAAGCAGCTGGGGATGGGGAGGGTTTGGGGCTCTCTAAGCCTCTCCACGATCTTCATCAGACCCTCTCCTCCCCATTCTCCAATGTGGATAAGTGTGGTTTTCTCAGTCTAATGTGAAGTTTACACAACATCTATACCAAAATTCTGGGTCCACTCTTGACTCTGGGCTCTGTGAAATCCACACATCTTCCCCCCCAGACAGGCTGTCACGTCCATCACTGGTAGGGACAGAGACCCATGACTTCTCTGGGGGACCATTTGTCAGTGTCTGTCACAACGACAGGGGCTCTGCTCTTTGATCTGGCAATTCCACCTCCAGGGTGTGTCCCAATACACATGCAAGGTCATGCACTGCAACATGGTACTAGTAGTAAAAGGGTGGAAACAACACAAATACCCATCCATAGAGGCCTGGTTGAAAAACTCCTGGACATTCCCCTGTGGAGGAGGGCTGTGTGGCTATAGAAAGGCTGAAGATGCTCTCTCTGAATTTCCAGAAGACTTCAGTAATAAAAGCAAGGTCAGAGCAGTGTGTATGGGATGTTACCTATCGTGGGGAAGAGAATATATATGTATATGTTTGTGCATCAATAAACTTACCAGGAAGTAGTTCCACGGTTATCTGAGATGGAGCAGGGGCCCAGGGTAGAAGGCAGATAGAATAATGAGTCCCCAGAGATATCCAGATCCTAATCCCTGGAACCTGTGAATATGTCCCCTTACATGGCAAAAGGGACTTTGCAGATGTGATTAAGTTAGGGACCTTGAGATGGGGAGTTAATCTTGAATTGTCCAGGTGGGCCCTAAATGTCATCACAAGGGTCCTCATAGGGGAAAGAGGGAGGCAGGAAGGTCAAAGAAGGAAGAGGGCAATGTGATGACGTAGCAGCGAGAAAGATAGTGATGTGATGCAGGGCCGTAAGCCGGGGAAGGCTGGCCGCCTCTAGAAGCTGGAAAGGCAAGGAAAGGGCCTCTCCCCTGGAGCCTCCAGAAGGAACCAGCCCTGCCGACACCTTGATCTTAGCCCCCTGAAACTCACTTCAGAATTGTGGCCTCCAGAACTGTAAACAAATAATTTTGTGTTTTTTCAAGCCACCAAGTTTGTGGTAATACAATTCCCCTGCCTAAAGCATACAGTTCAATGGTTTTTGGGTATATCACGTTATTAATTTTTAAAAGTTGGGGTAACATAGAGATGACAGAAATGATCTTTGGTGTTACTGTTGCAAAAAGATTACGACTTATTGAAGGCTCAGATGGTGGTTAGCGTTTTTTAGCCATAAAGCATTTTAAAACTGACGTGTGTACATTGTTTTTAGACATGATGCTATTGCACACTTAAGAGACTACAGTATAGTGTAAACATAGCTTTTTTTTTTTTTTCTGTTTAGCTGTGCCGCATGGCTTGTGGGATCTCAGTTCCCTGACCAGGGATTGAACCCGGGCCATGGCAGTGAAAGCGCTGAATCCTAACCGCTAGACCATCAGGGAATTTCCATCATAACTTTTATATGCACAGGGAAACCAAAAAATCCGCGTGACTTGCTTTTTCGCGATAGTCTGGAACTGACCCCGCGATATCTCCGAGGTATGCCTGTATTTTGTAGTTAAAAGAATTGAAAAAAGATATATATAGAGAGAAGTAAGACAGGCTCTCCCCCTGGTGTCTGAGAACCCTGGGGATTCGTGTCCTTGTGGTCCTCTTGATCCAAGGTCTTCCCTCCATGCCTTTGGTTCTGTCTCACATGGTGACGGTCCATGCAAAACTCTGTCCCTCCTCAATTCCCACAAAAGATCCCCTTGCACACAGCCACTTGAGGTGTAATAAATAAACTTTAATGAGGTGTTTGGGGGCTGGGGACGGACAAGGGGTTTATGTGGCAGCAAGGCAACCAGTATCCCTTTGTGTCCCTGACGCTGTGGAGCCCCACTGGCCTTGTCACCCCCTTACCACTCCCATGCTGCTGGGTCGCATCTCTTTCCCATCCTTCTCTGTTCTGCCTTCTCCCATCTGCCTAGAGAGAAGCCCCAATCCTTCTCACTTTCTCTTGCAGAGTGGCTCATGCCCTGCATTCTGCCCCAAGGTCTCTATCTCCCTAAGGTATTTTCTCCAACAGACAGTTTGAACTCTCTGTCACACTTGCAGTGTAGTAAACCGTAACCGTGTGTAAACAGCTTTCCTGAGTTCTGTGACTCCTTACACTGAGTGACTCAACCTGAGGGTTGGTCTTGAGGACCCCTGAACTGTGTTATGAGGCAGAGGGGACACTCTTGAGGTCTGGCACGGGAAGGGTGGCCGGTCTCTTTGGAGGGAGACGTCATCCATTGAGGTGGGGTGGGTGTCCAGCTGCGAGGCCCACTTCCTCACCAGCTCCAGTGAGGACTCTCTCTGTTCAGTCCCGACGCTGTCACCTCGTGCCCTCTGTCGGTGGATCCTGCGGAGAGCTGGCATTACAGCCAACAGCTGAATAGATGACATTCTGGAAGGGGGAATACACAAACTTTAGCCTCAGGCCCTTCCAAAACAGTGCTTCCTGCTGAAGCCCAGCATGCAGAGAGCTGCAGGCCTGCCCCTCTCCCCACCCCTGGAAGCCAGGGCAGCACTTCTCCAGGTGTGGTCATGAGTAGGGAGGGGAGGGACGGGGTGCCTATGAAAATTCAGGTCCCCAGGCGCCAGCACAGACCCACCAGACCACTCTCAGCGGGTGGAGCCCAGGAACCTGCAGTATGTATGTATGTATGTATGTATGTATTTATTCATGCATGCATGCGTGCCAGCCACACCGTGTGGCCTGTGGGATCTTAGTTCCCCGACCAGGGATTGAACCCGGGCCCTCGGCAATGAGAGCGTGGAGTCCTAACCACTGGACCGCCAGGGAGTTCCTGGAACCTGCGTTTCAGCAAACCTTACGGGGGATTCTGCCCAGCAGGAAGGGTTTGGGAACTGATGCTCGAGGCCTTTGAAGAAAAGATCCAGGACCTGACTCCTGAGGCCATGCTGGCTTTTGGTTAGGTGCTGCAGGTGCCCAGAGAGGCCTGGCCCCTCCTTGGGAAAGCCCACAGTGATTAATCTGTGGTTCATGCAGAATTCCCCCATACCCTTCTCAGCTCCATCACCACACCTACCCCATTAGCAGACGAGCTGTGCCGGTTCCAACCTGAGGAGACAGGAGGAGAAGTGGTCAGAAGTGAATGACAATGCTGGAAGGTATGGGAAGAAGGCACGTGTGGGTGACCAGGCCCCCTGAACTCTAAGTCCTGGCTCTGCTACTGATGTGGGGGAATCGCTTCCCCGAATGGTTTCTACGTGTATAAAACACAACTGGGGTATAGGCTTCATCTAGTTATTCATTCAGTTATTAAGTATACATAAATATTTACTGAGCACAGGCTCTGGAACCAGATGGAAGGGTTCAAATCCCAGCTCTGTCCTTTAGCAGCTGTGTGACCATGGGTAATTGGCTTAACCTCTCTGTGCCTCAGTTTCCTCAACCATCAAACAGGGATTTATTCAGCAAATAGAAAATGTCTACTTTGTGCCAGGTGCATTCTGGGTGCCGGGGATATGGATGTGGTGAGCAAAATAGACAAAAATCCCTCTTCTCATGGTGCCTGCGGTAATAACAATAGGCGTATTAGTAATAGTGATAATAATCATAGCTTATATATACACCCAGTGTGTGGCTTACAGGGTGCCAAATGCTGCACTAAGTACTGTACCTATATTATAAGGTACAGTCACTCCCATTTCACAGAGGAGGAAACTGAGTCATAGAGAGTAAGGCATTTGCCCATGGTGACGCAATGAAGCGGTAGAGTGTGGGCTAGATACAGGTAGTCTGGCTCTGGACGTCATGCGTTCAGCAAACACTTACTCAAATGCCTCTTTTGTGCCCGACCCTGTGGTAGGTGGTGCTGAGGACATAGCCATGACCATGACACTTCTAGTTCTGCCCTCCCGGGGCTCCCGGTCCACTGGAGAGACAGACAAGTCCCCACACAGTGATGTCCCTGAGTGGGTAAGGCTGGGGTGGAGGAGCCCAGAGCAGGTGCTTGGCTCATTTCGGGAAAGATCAGGAAGGGCTTCCTGGAGGAGGGGGCCTCCCGCTGGGATGTGAGGAGGCCATTTTGTTTAGTGGTTGAAGGAACAAAGCTTTGTAGCCAACAGAACTGCCTTCTACTCTTGACTTTCCAGCTGTGTGCCAGCTGGCCGGTGACATCACCTCTCTGAGCAAACATTTCCTCATCTGTAAAATGGGCTCATAGAGGGACTCTCTTTGCAGGGTGGTTGTGAGCATTCAAGGGGGTTGTGCGCAGAAAGTGCCTGGCATGGAGAAAGTGCTCAGCAAAATGTAGCTCTTTTGATTACAGAATTAGCTGCAGGGCTTTGCCAGAGGGAGCTGTGGGGATGCTGCTCCAGGCAGCACAACAGGCTTGTAAAGCCATTGAGGTGAGAGAACATCAGATCCTTTTAGAGCTCGGATCGGGGCACCAGTTCCTGCCACCCCCCTCCTTTCCGTGAGAGCAGGGAGGGAGCCAGTCGTGAGCAAGACAGAGGGACTAAAGCTGGGGTGGGGGTTAAATGTTATTCCACCCTCCATCCATCCGGCAGGAGCTCCTGCGTCACCTGGATTAAAAGCCAAGTCCTTACTGTGGCCTTCGAGGACCTACAGGCGCTGCTCCCACTGTGTAAAATGAATCACTGATCCAATGAATCAAACTGCCTGGTCTCAGTGTCCTCGTCTGTCACATGAGAGAACCTCATGGTATTGGGGTGAGGATTCAGTGAGAGGCTGCCACGTGGAAGGCTTAGTGCAGAGCCTGGCACATAGTAGATGCTCAATTATGTTGGCTGTGGTGATGTTCATTTATGGCAGACAGGCGGGGGATGTTGCAAAAAAAGGGGACTCACGGAAGTTTCTGGATTTCCAGAAATAAATCAGGAGCCCCAGCAGGAGTAGACCAACCAGGGTGATAGTGAAAGTCAGGATGATAATGATCCCAGAGGACGAGCCCGAATGTGATGGCTCCCTGGGAAGTCCTGCAGGAAGAGAAGGAAGGAGAGATATAAGATGAGAGGCTATGGGCTTTTTACCTGCCCCCAAAATATTACCCTTCGTTTTTTAAGGAAGCTACCACTCTGCTTCCCTCAGTCTATATGGTTTAGGTGGACTTGACCCCACCCTCTGGTTCCTAGGATGGGACTTTGACCTGGGCCTGGCCAATCAGAGCATTCCATTCTCCCTGGCTACTGTGATTGGTTCATGGGGGTGGGGGTGTTCTGTGACTTAAGTTGAGCCAATGAGAGCCAGCCCTGGGATTTTGGCTAGATTATTGAAAGTGGTATATTCTTTCCCTTGGGATTTCTAAACTGGTGGGCTGTGAGCCTATAGCTGCTGAGGACCATCTTACCTTCCTGAGGGGAAAGGCTGCCAGGGAATAAAGCCAGCATAGAGAAAAGCAGAGACAAGAGAGGTCAAGAAAAGTTCCTGGGTTACATAGTTGGAGCACCTGGATCCATACCTGAAGGTGTTTTTCCAATAACGTCCCATTTTTGCTTGGACTGTTTTGAGTTGTGCTTCTATCAACTGCAAGTGATAGAGTTCTGTCCAATACACTTGGAAAGGCCTTCCTGAGTCCATTGGGAAAAGGCATCACGCAACTACCCCAGCCTGGGTTTGCAGAGGGGCTGTGTCCAGGTGGCTATACAGTGGTTCCAATGGTACAGATGTTGAGTTAACAGAGAGTAAAGCTGATCCTGTTGAACCTTCCGTGAGGGGGCTTAGGGGAAGGATGGGAGCTAGAGAGCATTCTTGTGGCTGAGGGACTCGTTTAACCAGGGACCACCTCTAAACTCCTCCTTCAGAGGGAATCCTACCGCGATTTCCTCTTTTGATCTTTTTGTTCTCCCCACCCAGGGGGCTTCTTACCTGTGACCAGGACGGTCACTTCTGCCTGGCCAGTCCCTAGGGCGTTGGTGACAAGGCAGATGAAAGTCGTGTTGATGGACTCGTCCACGGTATGGATCAGGAGCTGGGCGCCCTGGGCCACAACAGAGGGTGGCAGGGGTCCCATGGTCCTAGGAGAGACAGATGGGTGAGGAAGTGGCCTCAGTTGGAGGCCTAGAATAACAGGTGATGGGGCACTCGCTGTATGCCGGGAATACAGAAACCCTCACGCCATCTACAGTACAAGTTGAGAGCAAGCCTGTTCCCCCAGCTCTGCCTCTCACACTCCCATCCAGCCAATCGGCAGATCCTGTCTGCCCCACCTTCAGAATCTAGCCTGAGTCTGACGACTCCTCAGGGCCTGAGCAGAGGCCCGAATGAGGTGAGGGTGAGCCGTGTGGGTACCGATGGGAAGAGCATTCCAGGCATAGGGAACAGCATATGTGAAGACCCTGAGGTGAGAGCATAACTGTAGTGTTTGAGGATCTACAAGGAGACCACTGTGGATATAGAGGCGAGAGCAAAGGACCACGGCCACCACCCTGGTCTGTTCCCCCTACTCCTGGGGGAACCTTCTCACTGGGCTCCCTATTTCCACCCCCACTCCCACCCCGCTCTGTCCCCCACTCAGCATCTGAGAGACCTTGTTAGAACTAAGTCAGCTCGGGGACTTCCCTGGTGGCGCAGTGGTTAAGAATCTGCCTGCCAGTGCAAGGGACACGGGTTCAAAGAAGCCCGAGCACCGCAACTAAGAGCAGCCCCCGCTCGCCGCAACTAGAGAAAGCCCGCGCGCACCAACGGAGACCCAATGCAGCCAAAAATAAATAAAATAAAAAAAATTATATATGTAAAAAAAGAACTAAGTCAGCCCAAGTCCCTCCTCTGTCCAGAGCCCTCCAGTAAAGGAAAATTCTTTAGCACGGGCACAGGTCCCACACAAGCTGGCTCCCTGATGCCACTGACTCCTTTGCTCTCGCCTCTATATACATGGTAGCCTATTTGTTGATCATCGAACACTCCAGTTATGTTCCCACCTCAGGGTCTTCGCATATGCTGTTACCTATGCCTGGAATGCCCTTCCCATCGGTACCCATACCGCCCACCCTCACCTCCTTCAGGCCTCTGTTGAGACGTCACCTTTGTAATGCCTTCCTTGGCCACGCTCCTCCTCTGCTTTGTCTTTTCCATGGCATTTATCACCACCTGACACACTCTGTTCTTGACAACGTTATCTTGTTTACTTTTTAAAATTAAAAAAATATATTTTATTTTGGCCACGCCCTGAGGCTTGTGGGGTCTTAGTCCCCCGACCAGGGATTGAACCCTGGGCCCCTGCAGTGAAAGCGCAGAATCCAAACCACTAGACCACCAGGGAATTCCCATGTTGTCTTGTTTAATTGTTTCTCTCCCCCATCAGAATGGGAGCTCTGAGAGGGGAGGGAATTTGGTCTATTTTATTTACCAAGGTTTGTGGGTCAACAGCATCTGGCACATAGTAAGCAGTCAAGAAACACTGGTTTAATGGATGGAGGAGACGCAGGCATGGATTTGGGCTGCAGAGCTGGCACGGAAACCCGGCTGTGTGGCTCGTGAGCCTGAATCATGGCACTTTGGGGCAGGAAGGTTAACGGCCAGGCATCAATACCAATTGAAAACCTTCGACCGGCAGTTCCTCTGGCCAACCGTTGAGACACGACTGTGGCTGCCCACAGAGATGGACAGACGGGGATGCTCACCACCATGGCATTTGCATAGTTGAAAACAGTAGAGCACCTCCGTATCCCCATTTGGGATTGGTTAAATCATTGAAGGGCTCATCTATGATGGAATCTCGGCACCATGAAGAAGGGGGCTGTGGGTATTTTGAAATGCATAAAAGATAAGGACTGTTGGCTAGATGGAGACAGAAACGGACTGATGGGCAGAAATGTGCTAAAGAAGTACATGAAAATATCAGAGGGAGAATCCATGTGGTAGGGGTTTTGAGTGTTCACTGGAAAATTCTTACAACTTTTCTGTATGTGTGAATATTTTCCTCATAAAGTGTTGGGGGAAAATAGATCTATGTGCCTTGACATGGAGAGGTGTTCGTGAGATGGAGGAAAAATTTTTTTTTTTTTTTTTTTTTTTGCGGTACGCGGGCCTCTCACTGTTGTGGCCTCTCCCGTTGCGGAGCACAGGCTCCGGACGCGCAGGCTCAGCGGCCATGGCTCACGGGCCCAGCCGCTCCGCGGTATGTGGGATCTTCGTGGACCGGGGCACGAACCCGTGTCCCCTGCATCGGCAGGTGGACTCTCAACCACTGTGCCACCAGGGAAACCCGAGAAAAAAATTTTAAATTGTACATACAGCACAGTTTTTGTTTAGAAATATTGGAAAAAAAGACGGGAAGGATATATAACAAAGGGTAACAGTGGAGGTGTTCTGGAGGTGACTGGGTACATGACTACAGGTGCTATTTTCTCCTTTTTACTTATAACCATATTGTCTAAAGTTTCTACAATGCTAAGTTATTTTTGAAATAAGAAAAAAAGGCCCAATAAAAATTACATAAAACATGGGACTTCCTTGGTGGTGCACTGGATAAGACTCTGCACTCCCAGCGCAGGGGGTTTCGATCCGTGGTTGGGGAACTAGATCCCACATGCCACAACTAAGGAGCCCGCGTGCCGCAACTAAGACCTGGAGCAAGCAAATAAATAAGTTTTAAAAAATTACATAAAACAATTTACCCCTTTGCCTTTATCTTTCCCCACTTGTAACCCCGGCCTCGGTATGAATTTGAGGAGATTTTCTCATTGCTCTGCCCCTCAGTCAAGAGAACGGGGGCGGGACAGTATTTGCTCTGTGAGAGGTGACTGGGCAGGTAACACGTGATGGCTGGGGAGGTGGCACAGCCCAGAGGTTGGGAGTGAGACGCCGATGGGAGGCTCACCTCTGTGCCCCATGGCTGTGTGCCCGGGCAGATGACGGCTGCTCCTGCGGCCGAGCTAATCTTTAATCCGGGCCTGGCCATAGCGCAGACTGTGCCTGGAGTGTGGGGATCATGTGGCTTCAAGCTAAGTACAGCAGGCATGCCGTAAAGAGCAGGTGTTTCAGCACACCTGGACTAAAGCACCTCATAAACTCTGCACATGCAAGACAGACATTTTCCTGGGGGCCTCCAGTTAACTGCTTGCTCTCTTTTTACTTTCCTGCCTACACCCTTCCTCCCTCAGACCCAGGAGTCGAGGTCCCCAACCCCCTCATCTCTCAGGACCCAGGTAGCTGGGTTCCCAGCCCCTCCCCCCTCTGACCCAGGAACTCACGTGTTCCAGTTATAACCTGTGGGCTCTGGTTTGCTGCGGACGTCACAGTGCAGGGAGGCCTCACTACGGCCGATGTACCAGTTGCCATCATAGCCGGATATGGAGACCTCGGGGGGGTCTGGGGGAAACAGATACACAGGCTCAGAGACAGAGAGCCTTCAGAGGGGCCTAAAGATAATGGGATTCATGTCACAACAGGAAAAGGGCCTTGGTGGGTTTTGGGGAACAGCTCAAGGTGGAGAGGCCTCCGAGGGGTCTGGGGAGATGGGTTCTACCCCCCGGCTCCGAGAATAGAAGTCTGGGAGTCCTCAGCAGGGTGCCAGGAGGTGGGGCACAGAGAGGGCTTCTCAGGACCTGCTTCTCTCTACTGGTTTTCCTGGGTAAAGCCAGATCCTGGTGTGCCTGGGCTGTCCTGTGAGAAGAGGCCTCCTTGGCGCTCATAATACACAGGAGTATATTCAAGGCTCTGATAAGTCCTGCAGGAAAGAATCCTGGATGACCCTGTTTCAGCCTGCTGCTTATCCAACTCAAATGTGATCGACAGGGGAGATTTTCAAAGTCCCCAGAGGGAAGGCCAATGAGACAGGGTGTTTGTGTGTGTGTGAGGTGGGGGGGTGCTGAGGGAATCAGTACAGCACCTACTGGGGAGGGAGTATTCGGTATAGACAGTGATGGGAGGACACAGCCCATAGACGAGCCAGTGTAGACAACAGTGGGCTAGAGAGAAGTATAGACACTGGAGCCAGTGTAGACCTCTCTCCAGGGGATCCATTGTAGACAATGCCGTGGGTCGGTGTGAGAGAGTGCCTGGGAGAACCCGTGTAGAAAATGCAGGGTTTCAGTGCAGCAGTGGTCACGGGCACCTCTCTAGACAACACAGGGAACAGTGCCAACTCCCCACAGCTGGTGGCCTACATGACTGGTGTAGACAGTGAGGGTAGCGCTGTCTGGGGCCCAGAGGAGCCAGTGTAGATGGCTGGTAAGGCAGGGTAGAAACGGACAAGGGAGCTGGTGTAGATGGTGGGGGATTGGTGTAGCAGTGTGCACAGGGTCAGTGTGGACAGTTGCCCAGGGAAGCAGGTGTAGGCACTGTGTGTAGATTGGCCTCAGAGGAGCCCATATGGGGCGTCAGTGTAGGCAGTGGCCAGGGTAGACAATCGGGGAGCAGTGTGGACTGTGGCCTAAGAAGCTGGTATAGGCCTTTCCTGGCAGTCCAGTGGTTAAGACTCTGTGCTTCCACTGTAGGGGGCACGGGTTCAATCCCTGGTTGGGGAACTAAGGTCCCGCATGCCACGTGGTGCAGCCAAAAGAAAAGAAATAAGAAGCTGGTATAGACAATGAAGGACAGTGCCGTTTATGGCCCAGGGGAGCCGGTGTAGACGATGTGCGGACGGGGGTAGGCAGTAATCAGGGAAGCCAGTGAGGACGATGGGGGTGATGTTGGAAGTGGCCTGGGTGGGGTGGGGGGTCAGTGTAGACAATGGTGGGGGAGGGTAGAGACAGCCCGGCAGACCCTCCTGTCATTGCTCACACTTGGGTCCACTCACAGGGCACGCTGAGGGTCATGGGCAGTACCACCCGCTCCTCGAAGCTCTCGTGCTCCACTCTGCAAGTGACATTCTTGCCATCCACATGGCTGGAAGGTATTAAGGTTAAGAGACTGATGACGGTGACAGTGCCGGGCAGGGGCCCTGGCACCTGGCTTGTATTGGCCATCTTGTCGAGGGGCGGGGACCAGGAGATGCGGGCGGGTGGACGACCCCCCGTGGAGATGCAGTGGGCCACGGGCACAGGCTCCAGGCTGAGCTGGCTGCGCGGGATCTCCCGGGTCTCAGCCTTGTTCTGGGGCTGGGCTGGGGGGAAGAAGCAAAAGGGACGGGTCACTCCTCACCTGCAGTCATTCAACAAATATCTCAGCAGCAGAGGAGGGCGGCTCATTGAGGGGACAGGATGCGGCCAGGTTCAAATCCCAGCTCTGCCCCTGAGCAGCAGGGTGGCCTTGGGCAACTCCATGCCTCAGTTTCCTTGTCTGTCAACTGGGTGTAATGAGAGGATCACCGGTGATAAGAATTTGCAGGTAAAGCTCTTAAAATGGTACTTGGCGTGTAGTAAGTGCTCAATATATGTTATTATTATTGGTAATTGGACACATTGCCTGGCTCTGTGATGGGCAGTGTTGAGGACCTAGCAATGACCGAGACAACCCCACCCCGCCTTCATGGGGTGGACTTTCCAAGGGGAAGACAGACGTCCCGAGGCAGTGAGGACTCAGAGTGGGCAAGGCTGGGATGGGGGAGCCCAGAAGGGGTGCCTGAATCTGGGGGGCGGGGTTACGGAGGGCTTCATGGAGGAGAGGGAGGGATGAGCCGTGCCCTGGAGGTTCAGAGGGAAAGTGACTGGCTCAAGGTTACACGGGTGTCAGCGACAGAGCTGGACCTCCCCACAAGGTCTGTCTGACTCCAAAACTACCTTGACCATTTCTTTTTTTTTTTTTTTGTGGTACGCGGGCCTCTCAGTGCTGTGGCCTCTCCCGTTGCGGAGCACAGGTTCCGGACGCGCAGGCTCAGCGGCCATGGCTTACAGGCCCAGCCGCTCCGCGGCATGTGGGATCTTCGCGGACCGGGGCACGAACCCGTGTCCCTTGTATCGGCAGGCGGACTCTCAACCACTGCGCCACCAGGGAAGTCCCTACCTTGACCATTTCTTAATCATTCTGGTGATTCCAAGACCTGGGGTTTCACTTGGTTCCTTTCGCCTCAGTACCTGTGTTCTTATTACTGAAGATTTCTCTTTGACTCATTGGTTCTGTTTTACCCTCATCCTAAATCATAAGACCTGAAGTCCCAAGTTTTCTGAAATGACGACAGTTGCCTTTGGTTGGGTACTGTGTGCCAGGCACTGTTCCAAGCGCTTAATCTTTCCTGAGTCATTCACGCAAGGCCTGGGACAGTTCCTGGCACATAAGCAGAAAAGAAACGTCAGCTCTTATTCATCCTCATAGCGGATCTCCATTTCACAGATGAGGAAACGAGCCACAGAGACTTTGTACTCAGCTGCCAAGAGGAGGGCCTGTCATGTTTTCCCTGGTGCTCATAAAAATGAACACATGGGGGGCTTCCCTGGTGGCGCAGTGGTTGAGAGTCTGCCTGCCGATGCGGGGAACACGGGTTCATGACCCGGTTCGGGAGGATCCCACATGCCGCGGAACG